AGGTCATCCTTCAAAGCCAAACGCGGACACAAAGGACGAAGAATTTCAGATCACCCAAAAACCACCGGCCGATTTTCAATTTCCAACCGTCCGGATATTAATCACAGAAAAAACTAGCGTCCGTCAGAAAGTCCTGACTTCTCAAGATCATCCTTCGATGTAAAACGCGGACTGAAAGGGTGAGGAACACAACAACTACCGGCCGATTTTCAACTTACAAACATCATAGTATCCACCACAGAAAAGCCAGCGTCCGTCAAAAAGTGCTGACCTCTCAGGGTCGTTCTTCAAGGTCAAACGTGGACTTAAATGACGGGAACTTCACATCACCCAAAAACTACTGCCCGATTTTCAGCTTACAAACATCAGAATATTCACCGCAGAAAAAAGCTAGCGTCCGTCAGAAAGTCTTGACCATCCTTGGCCATCCTTCAAGACCAATCCCGGATTCAACGAATGGGGAACCACATATCACCCAAAAGTACTGACTGATTTTAAACTTTCAAATCCCAGAATAGAAGAATTAGTGTCAGTGAAAACGTCCTCACCTCTCAAGCTCGTTCTTCAAGGTCAAACGCGGACTCAAAGGACGGGGCACTTCACATCACCCAAAAATACGAGCCGATTTTTAACTTGCAACTGCCAGCATATTTGCCATAGAAAGAACTAGCGTCGGTCAAAAGGTTCCGACCTCTCAAGGTCACTCCTCAGGGTCAGATGCGGGCGCAAAGGACGGGGAACTCCATATCAGTCAATTTTAAACCTGCACGGTCGGAATATTCACTGCCGAAAGAAAAAGCGTTCATGAAAAGCCCTGACCTCTTACGGTCATTTTCTCAAAGTCATTCTTCAAGATCATACGCGAGCATAAAGGACGGGGAACTCCATATCACCCAAACTTTTAACGGTCGATTTAAACTTGCAAATATCAGGATGTTCACCTTAAATACTGACCTTGAAGAAATATGAGAATATTGACCTTGAGGGTGACCTCGAGATGTCAGGACTTTTTGACGAACAATGGTTCTTTCTGTGGTAAATGTTCTGATGTTTGCAAGTAAAAATTCAGCTGGTAATTTTTCGGTGATATCGAGTTCCCCGTCCTTTGAGCCGACTTTGACCTTGAAAGGTGACGATGAGGGATCAAAACTTTCTGACCGACGCTAGTTTTTTCTGTGGTAAATGCTCGGACATTTGGAAGGTGAAAATCGTCCGGTAATTTCTGAGTGATACGAAATTCCTTCTCCTTTGAGTTAGCGTTTGGCCTTCAAGGCTGCCGTTGAGACGTCAGGACTTTTTGACGGACGCTAGCTCTTGCGCTTGTAAATATTTTGACGTTTATAGTTCTCAAATCGGCCGGTAAATTTCGGGTGATCTCGAGTTCCCCGTCATCTGGCTCCACGTTTGACTCTGAAATGTGGCCTTGAGAGGTCGCGACTTCTTGACGGACTCTAGTTTTTCCTGTGGTGAATATTCTGTTGTTTGTAAGTTGAAAATCGACCGGTAAGTTTTGGGTGGTGCAGAGTTCCCCGTCTTTGACACAGCATTTGAACTTGAAGGATGACCATGAGATGTGATGACTTTCTGACGGACGCTAGTTCTTTCTGTGGTGAACATTCTGTCATTTGGAAACTGAAAATCGACCGGTAAATTCTGAATGATATCGAGTTCCTCGTCCTTCGACCCCGTGTCAGACCTTGAGGGCTGGCATTGAGAAGTCATAGCTTTTTGACGGACGCTACCTCCTGCGCTTGTGAATATTGTGATTCGTATTGTTTTCGAATCGACGGTAATTCTTGGGTGATGTCGAGTTCCCGTCATTTGAGTCCGCGTTTGACTTTGAAGGGTGATCAAAAAAGGTCAGAACTTTTTGACTGACGCTATTTTTTTCTGTGGTTAATATTCTGTTGTTTGTAAGTTGAAAATCGGCCAGTACTTTTTGCGGGATATGAAGTTCCCTGCTCTTTGAGTCCGCGTTTGACATTGAGGGATGGCTTTGAGAGGTCAGGACCTTTTGACGGGCGCTAGTTTCTTCTGTGGTAAATATTCTGATGTTTGTAAGTTGAAAATCAGCCGGTAATTTTTGGATGATATCAAGTTCTCCGTCCTTTGAGATCTTGTCTGACCTTGAAGGGTTACCTTTAGAGGGCAGGACTTTTTGACGGCCGCTAGTTCTTTCTGTGGTGAATACTTTGATGTTTGTAAGTTGAAAATCGGCTGGAAATTTTTGAGTGACATCGAATTCCCCGTCCTTTGAGCCCTCGTATGACCTTAAAGGATGACCTTGATATATCAGGCCTTTTTGCGAACGCGTTCTTTCTGTGGTAAATATTCTGACATTTGTTAGTTCAAAATCGGCCGGTAATTTTGGGATGATATCAAATTATCCGTCCTTTGAGCCCACATTTGACCTTGAAGGATGACCTTGAGATGTCTGGACTTTTTGGCGCGCATTGCTTTTTTCTGTGGTGAGAATTCTGCTGTTTGTAAGTTAAAATTAACCGGTAATTTTTTAGCGATACCGAGTTATCCGTCTTTCGAGGCCACGTTTGGCCTTGAAGAATGACCTTGAGATGTTAGGATATTTGACGGGCACTATCTCTTGCGCTTGTAAATATTTTGATGCTTGCAGTTTTCAAATCGGCCGGTAATTTCTGGGTGATATCGAGTCTCCCGTCCTTTGAGTCCACGTTTGACATTGAAGAATGACCTTGAAAGGTCATGAGATTTTGATGACGGACGCTAGTTTTTTTCTGCGGTGAATATTCTGATAGTTGTATGGTGAAAATCGGCCCGTAATTTTTGGTGATATCGAGTTCCCGTCCTTGAGCCCGTGTTTGATTTTGAAGGATGACCTTAAAGGGCCAGGTGCTTCTGGCAGACGCTAGGTTCTTTCTGTGGTGAATATTCTGAGATTCGCAAGTCGTAAATAGACAGGTATGTACTGGATGATATCGAGTTCTCCATCCTTTGAACCCGCGCTTAACCTTGCAGGGTGACCTTGAAATGTCAGTACGTTCTGACGGACGCTAGGTCTTGCGCTGGTGAATACTTTGATGCTTGTAGTTTTCAAATCGGCATGTAATTTTTGGGTGATATTAAGTTCTCCTTCTTTTGAGCCAGCGTTTTCCCCTGAATGGTGACCTTAAGAAGCTACAACTTTCCGACTGATGCCTGTTCTTTCTGTGTCAAATATTCTGACATTTGTAAACTGAAAATCGGCCGGTATTTTTTGGGTGATATCAAGTCCTGTCTTTTGACCCAGCTTTTGACCTTAAAAATAACATGCTAATGCAAAAGAAGGGTCATTTTTTGTGTTTTCATGCGACAATTGGACTTGAGATTTTTCAGAGAAATCAGAACTTGTCGCTGAATGAATCGCTGAATAAATCGCTAACTTCACGGACATCCTGACCCTGGAGCGTTTCGCGTCATGTTCGCATGTGCAACCGCGTACATGTGCACGTTCGTGAGAAGTGTGTGTGTGGGCGAGGGGGGGAGGGACGGGGTAATCATTGGCATCCTGTTTTAATGCCGTGACAACGGACTTGGATAGCTACGAGTGTGCTGTGAATAGTCCGAATGCACGTCTGCCGTCTACGTCTACCGATCTGCGCCCGGACGCGGTGCCGAGCTGCCAGTGGCCGGGTGCGAAAGCGCCCGCACGACCCCTCCCCCTCCCCTACCCACCCCGCTCGAGCGGAAAACCTGAACAAAACATCTCATTTAGGACCATGCAGAATGTCTGTATCAAGTTTCCATTCACCTCTACCAACGAGTGAGCTATGGCTTGAAATGTTTGGCAGCGCGTTGTTGCGTGTTATCGGTGGGTGCACATCCGCGTCGGGGCGCGGAATGGTCACAGTCGGGCCGGTTGGGGTGCGGCGAGGCAAAGGTCTGCGCGGCGGTGTTGCGACAGGCTGGCGTAAGCCGCTTAAGCTTGTTGTGTGGTCTGAGACCCCACGCTGCAGTGTGGGGTTTTCCGCTGTCCATTATCTTTTGAAAATGTGTTATCTGACCTCCCCTGGCTAACGGTGTGCCGCTGGGGAGTCCGGTCTATGCTCGATATCCCCTGCCCTGATAGGGAGGGGCTCAATATGGCACCCCTGAGGTATTTTTACGATATCTTGCATGCCGTATTTTTGCGCTTAACTTTTCAGTAGCCCATCCATTGCGCGTCTTTTGACTAAAAAATACGCGTTTCTAGCTTTTCTGGTTCCCGTGCAATGGCAGTTGTTTTCAACAACTGCACGGTGATCCCAGACCGGCAAAAGTGGCAGGCGGCAACCGAGTCCGCTGATCGCTCGCGACGGAGCGAAACTGTCATGTTAACGGAGCCCTACAGTTGAAAAGTCTGCTCCAAACAGACAAAAATGCATTCAATGTGCTCACAACTAATCGAGGAGCACGGCTGTGTAAGTTTCACTTCGTTCTGTATGATTCCGTGTATGCTTTCGTAAATATGGGCATAGAAAGCCGAAAAGTGTAATCTTCTAAAACATGGCCAGTGGCATGGCATAGCGAAGTCAATGATTGACCTAATGACATGAAATGTATTATCAATCGCTAGAAGACGTTGGAGTCAAGCCATTGTTGCTTTTTTACAAGGCTCTAGCGTTTTTGCCTTTGAAATGACAGAGGATGGTTCGCATCGCCCCCCCCCCCCCCCCACCCCCCCACCAGCATAGCGTTATGAGCAACCACCGCGGTGTTTTTCACGTAAAACATGGATTAGAAAAGCCCTTGCGCATTTCATACGACTTTGGCTGAAGGTTCTTAAGATTCTGCAGGCCTGGCACTAGCCGTTTTGCAGCCTCGTCCCTTCAGAATGCCGTGGAGCTGATGCCTGACCGCAGTCGGGACGAGGGCAGCCTCATCAGCCATATGTCTCGCTTCGTGCCTCGTCATCGATAAGGTATCAGGCCTATCGCCGCCAATGTGCATCTCTTCCGTTTGCCTCATTTGGTGTGGTGTGACATGTCGGCGCCGATCGCCAGACGACGGCAGGCAGCGTCGACGATCTGTCCGTCGATCGCGACTGGTGACTGCCCTGACCGGCCGCTCGTGCGCAGCCAGCAGTCCGTCTGGGGCGCGGATCCGTATGGGAACTGCTGGCTGTTCACCCGCGAGTTCTGAACCATCACGCCGAGATGTTCCCCGGCGCCAATCGGCGAAACGGCGCGTTCGCGGCGGCGCTGGCGCTAGTCGTCGTCGTGGCGCTGGGATCACACTACTGGTAAGTGCAGCGGTGTGTATCGACGTTCCGCTGCGTAGTTGTTCCTGCACGGCACGTGCATAACGACACTGCATTACTAAACGACACCGGATTCGGAAAAAAAACAGTTGAACATTTGAGATCTAATTCCTGGTTGACAGGAAAGCTAGGCCAACAGTCATTGGACCATTTTCCCACACATAGTATACGCATGATTTTGGGTTCCGAGTGCATGTATTTTTCCTACCAAACTTCCAATCTACCCAATTTTCTATGCAAATTGGAGCAGGTAGTTTCGGCATGGTTATAGAAGGAATGTGATATCTGAATAATGCATGGCCATGACAGCAGTTGCGGACAACCTTGACCGATTAGGGGATGTTGTACCCAAATGTAGCAAACTACGGTCTGTCCCGTCTCTAAGTACGCTGGGCGTCGATTCAGCAAGAGGGTTATATAAACGGCCTACCTCTCCTTCCGTGCCATGGACGGCGGCAAAGTGCTGGCTGCTGGCTGTGGTTGCGCTCCGCGAATGCTGGACACAGCATTATCAATCTGATTAGTGACAGTTGGGCAGTACTGCATTAGTTGCACTGTTGATTTGCACGCCCCCGTGTAGCTGGTTGAATATCCTTCGCTCGGATGGGGATCAATTTGACCCCTCTGGGATCTCAGGAGCTAAAAGAGCTAGAGACACCAAATTCACAGGGTGTGTTGGCCTGTGCGTGTACTCACTTAAGTCAACGTTTGAGATTCCTATGATCAAATAGCCTTTGGTTCAAGTAGGTTCAAACAAGGTCGAGCTCCAGGCTGGTCTCCAAAGTGCCCTAGAACCTAGATACCTGTTCCAAGCAAAAAGTCAAGTGCTCATTTCAGGTCAGTGATCTTTTTTGACCTCTTGAAGATCATGCTGACCAAAACCATGCAATACTGCTTTGAGTTTTCTATTTGAATAAGCAACAAGAATACGCTAGACAGTCTGTTTTTAAAAATAAAAATGTTAACCTGGGACATTTAAGGTCAGTGACCTATTCTGACCTTTAGGAAGGCCACGGAATGCTTGTAATGCGGTTCCTGCTATAAATAAATTTGAAATGAGCACAAGAAAATATCCCATAAAGCAATCCCTAGAGCAATAAAACAGACTGGTTTTGACCGTGGTCTGACCTTTATAATTGAACCTACATCAATGGAATTTGTTCATGCAATTGGCGTGTTGCCTAAGAAAGTGTTGAGCTGTATGGACTCATTTAACACGCGCTCGGGTGAGGGGGGGGGGGGGCAATTGATCCCGCACCCAGGAAGGTTTTTTCCAAAATGGTTTTCGAACGGCGTGGCGTAGCCGCGCCAAATTTTGCAGAGCTGTAGACAATTGACTAGCGGATCGTTTGGTGCCAAAAATTTAGATGTACGCTGTAAGTTCTCTGATCTATGGGGGGTTTAAGTCAATTCATGGTTTCAGCGAAGACAATTTCTAGGGAATCGTTCAATCTGATGCAGGAACGAAGTATTAGACAAAGCCGTACATCTCTGAGATACTCTCTTAGGCAATACAGCAATGGAATGAACAAATTACATTGACTTAACGTCACGTATGGAGGTCAGACCAAGGTCAAAACCATCATGTCTTATTACTCTAGGGCTTGCTGTATGGGATAGTTTTTGGTGTCCATTTCAAGTTTATTAATAGCAGGAACCACATTCTACATCTTCCATGGATTTCTTAGAGGTTAAAATAGGTCATTGACCTAAAATGACGCAGGTCAACATTTTGTTTTTAGGAGCATACTGCCTAGCATAATTTTTGCTGCTTATTCAAATGCAAAACTCAGAGCAGTCATTGTATGATTTTGGTCACCATGACCTTAAAAAGGTCAAACAAGGTCACTGACCTTAAATGAGCATGCGACTTTTTGCTTGGAGACAATTATCTAGGTTGTGGGAGCCTGTTGGAGACCAACCTGGAACTTGCCATTGCTTGACCTTATTTGGCCCGAAGATCACGAACTAGGAACCTCAAACTTTACCCAAGTAAGACCACGTAGAGGTCAACACACCCTGTGAATTTGGTGTCTTTAGCTCTCTTAGTTCCCGAGATCTCAGGGGGGGGGGGTCAAATTGACCCCCCACCTGAGCGAAGGGTATCTAGCCAGTCACCCGGGAGCTTGTTAACACTCCGTTGTTGCATCGGGTTGAACGATTCTTTAGAAATTAGCTTCGCTGAATCCAAGGCCTGACTTTGACCTGCCGTAGGTCAGCGACCTTACAAGGTACATCAATGTAAACTTTTGAAGCCAAACGATCGGCTATTCAATTGCCTGCAGATATGCAAAATTTGACACGCCTTACCGCGCCATTCGGACACCATTCTGAAAAACCTTTAGGCGGTCAATTTGACAACATCCGAGCGCGTGTTAACACTCACCTAGTGATATAAAAAGGCTAGCAAGCGTGCTGGTTCGCTTGTGTGAAAATGTTTATGACGCAAGCAATATGAGGTCCATCTGAAGTACTCGAAATTCAATCTGCTGTCTTTTTGGGCTTCGCCTTGTACCAGCACAACCGCAGTGTGAATGGAGCGCAGCTTGTCAACCGCGGCTTAAACTGTATGGGTGACGGCTGTGCGTTCTTGGGTCACATTAAGCTCCGAATAGTAAGCCTATCACAGCGGGTCGCACACCAATTATGTCAATTATCTCAAGATCTCACTGGCTTAGTCTCTCTCACCTGTAGGAAGGTCTCTGCAGATATCGTTTTTGCCACTTGCCTGGAAGAGTGCATGGAGCCTGTGCATTTGTCCCCATAATTCTGCACTTCTAGACACGTATCATATATTCATTTTACAGACCTGTTCCCTTCAACTTTGAGTTGTCACTTGTCCGCATCCACTGAAGAGCTCAGGCCAGCTTCTACAGTTCTTCTACTGTGTAGCGTAACCAGCTCGCGTATGTCGGAAGCCACGCCTCTAGATCCGTATACCACTCGGTCGGTTCTGTGGTCCGCAGGTGGTGGACCAGCGTCAACATGGTGGGACCGGTCAGTCAAAAGCAGGTGGAAGCACCCTCCACCCAGCACCCCGACCACCTTCCGTTCGACGCCCAGGATGGCATGCCCCTCTCGCTGCAGCTGTTTAACTACATCGAAACGCCCACCGTCTGGTGCCGGAGACTGAGCATGTTCGGAGGCGTCTGCACAGGAAGCGGCAAAGTCGATGGCGACAAGTTCGTCTGCCTGGATGCTGAGTATGCGCCGACGGCGGGGGCGTGCCTCGTCTACTCGTTCGGCATCGCGCACGAGTGGAGCTTCGACAAGGACGTGACTGGCTACGGCTGTCAGGTGCACGCGTTTGACCCGTCCATGGAGACCTACCCTGAGGGTAAAACGGCGTTCGGCGTCCACTTCTACAGGACTGGCCTCGGAACGAAGACGAAAAACACCCCGATAAAGTGGCGAATGATGTCACTGACACAGATAAGAGCCAACTTAAGCCATACGCAAAGGGTGATAGACTATCTGAAGGTGGATATCGAGGGCAGCGAGTGGGACTGGCTTGATGACGACGTTAACTCCTTGAAAAGCGTGCGGCAGTTGGGTATGGAGATACACATGAACGAGGCAAGCCTAGCGAGGTACCACAACGCGTTTCGGCAGATTCACGCGCTGGGATTCCGGCTTGCTCATTCCAGTCCCAACCGTGTATATGGCAGAACTGAAACCGTCCAGGGCGTGAGGAGAAAGGTGGCCCTGCTGTACGAGCTTGTGTGGCTTAATCGGCACAAATTATAATCAAAGCCTCTCGTCATTTCGATGAAAAGCCGTTGCGTATGGTACATAAGCCCTGACCGAAGTTGCGCACAGCATGCAGCTTCCTCTCAGCGTGCACAGCACTGGTCAGAAGTACTGCTGGTATGACATTTTTTTCAGCGTTTCCCTGGAGAAGTGACCCCTCACGCTGGTATGCTGCGTCAGCGTCTCGTTATCACCTGACATCAGCTGGGCCGGCGCCCGTCGTCCCCGTTCCGTCCCTCCGAAGAGCGCCGCAGGCGAGACCCACTGACCTGGCCTGGAGGCGGGCCCGTGCTGCTGCCGCCGGCAGCCACGGGCTGACGCGCTCCCACCACGCGGAACAATGGAGGGCCGACCACGCGGCCCACGCAGAGCTTAGCTCGCACCCGGCCCGCGCCGCACCCCCCCCCCCCCCCCCCCACCCCACGCCCTCCCCTGCACCGGGGTCTCCTGGACGCAGTGGCAGCGTGTCACCCGCGAGGCTCTCAGGGGCTCTCCGCTCAGGCGGTCCGCACGCGGGGGCGCGGCGGAGGCCGGGCCACTTGAGGAAGCCGTTCGGTCGGTGTGACGTCCGGCGCGCCGAGACATCCTGACTGATGCGACGAAACCAGCGTCTCGACAGCGCGCGTGTGACCTGTAGAGCGTGGTAAAGCGAGGCGTCAGACGCACCAGTGTCGTGTCGCAGGTCGCAGCAGCCGTGAGTGCCAGGTGAACGCAATCTGAATGAGCTGCCCACACTGTGGCCGCGAATCGGACTGCCACAGATCGGCAGCTGATAGTTCGGTGTTACCTGCATGTGATGCGAGGCCTGCCTTAGTGGGGGATTGTAGGATGTAAAGATAGAGATTATTTGGCAGCCTAGCTGCGACAAGTGTCGTAACTATGAGGTTCGCGGAATGTATGACGTCTTGTAGCTGTGAGGTTCGGCAGAATGTACCACGTGTGGCAGCTGTGAAGTTCGGCGGAATGTACCACGTGACGTAACTATGAGGTTTGGCCGAATGTACCATGTGTCGCAACTGTGAGGTTCGGAGAACCCACCGCTGGCTGGTTGGTATCAAAATAAACAGAAGGAACTGTCCCAAGGTGTGTGTATTATATCATAGATTGTCACTGACGGATGTGTGCGTTCAAACCGATGCCCATGGCTTCGGCTGAGGACTGTATGGAAAATGTCAACAACTCAACGATCCTGACGTTTATCTCACATAGGAAACCGTTGCAACCCAAATCGTTAGCGTATACTTAACATAATTCAAAATTATTTACACCTCTTTAAGATCAGTTTCAAAGGTGATCATTAAATCAACGATAATTGCTGCTTGGTAAGTGCATGCATCCTGCATAGTTTGTGGATCAGCAAGCATCCACATAATTACTAGATGCACGGCTTTAACGCTTAACTGTTCTGTGGTGCATTCACGCTACGATTTATGCCAGTTTTTTCCGCGTGAGAGAAAAAAAGCTAAAACCGAGAATAATGTTTGCGTCCATTCCAGTGCGTCACTTCATGAAATCGATTAGAGGGGAGAGGAGGCTGATTAGGTAAAGCAAGCCTAACTAGCTCAAAAAACCTGATTCCCCCCCCCCCGGGATTTCGGCCACTTATTGCGTCTCCGATGTCAAAAAATAGGTTAATGCAAAAACTGTTTTCATGCTGAGAATGACTTTTTATTCTAAGCCAAGGTGGAGCTGTATTTTTAGTGGGCATAGAGTGGGGTGTAATTCACAGCAAAACACAGCGGAACAATCCGATCGGTTGTCATCAACGAAAAAGGTGGCGTTTTTCGTTCATCAGAGGGGACCTGCGGGCGTGAGAAGGAGGGCATTGTGCAGAATGGCTAAGTCTGACACATGCAGTCAAAAGGCTGTGGAACATTTGTTCATGGACAATGTTAGGATACACGTAATTAAAAGTAAAAGTGTACTTGCACGTCCCTCTCAACAGACACTTTGATGACTGGAAGGATAGAGAGGTAATGACTGTCATCGCGACGGGTCACCAGAGTGGCTGTGTTAGAAAGGAGGGCGTCCGACAGTTTAATGCACGTTAACAGGTTAAAATAAGCGAGAAAAGCCTCGACCTCTGATTTCGAAAGTAACCGATATTCAGTTTACGATGAGGAAGTAATTTAACGACATTAGCAATAAAGCATTGGCTAGATTCAGAAAACCGAGCGTTTGGAAGCTGCAGTCGTGGTCAGATTTTTACGCCAAATGAAATCGATAAACGCTACTCCAATATTTTTTCACTACGGAGCACGTCGCACAAAACGTGTTGATTCCGCTCCTCGACAAACTTTTAGTGGAATCATCCAGGGGTACCGCCGGCCAGTGGGTCAACCGTCCTGTCCCGAAAGCTTCTATAGCTCGTCCCAATATCTCAGTAGGGTAAGGGCGCCTGCCCTCCAATATACCAACCATTCACCCACACCCGCAGTTGCGTGTTTTTTGTTGTTGTTTTTTTTGTCTTTTGGTGGCTATCTTTGCCGTCATGACCGATGAGCCCTCGAGTTATCTGCTGACGGTGAGTCGCAACATGTCGGAGCCGATTCGTTATCGCCTAAATACACGTCAGTTATCAGTGGCGGAGTCGGTCCGAGCCGCTTTGGACGTTCGCTATCTGCCCCCGACTGAGATAGCCTGCAGCCGGCAGTAATGGTTGCGCTAGCGGTCAAGTGGCGTCAGAGAGCTGGGTAGACCGTGTTGAGCATCGCGGCGCGTTAAACTTACGCCGCAAAATTGTGTCGTTCACCCAGAATTTACAATTGGATGGTGGGATCAAAGCTCACGCAGCAAGCACTGCTTAGCGTTGGCGCTTAACCTAGAAATGCATCCAGTCAAAAGGCTCGTACCAAGAAAGAAAAAAACCACACATGGCCGCCCCACAATAGCGCATTTCAATGTGACACACACCATTACAACGACGGAAACAGTTTTTCTGTCCCAAACATTGAGGGCGGTGTGTGTATTTTCTGACCCCTAGAGGATTATGCCGTCAGTTCAGCAGGGTAAAAAAGCGGCGTATGAAGCGGACACGCACGTTCTCCGAAACGGCTCGTGCGATCGCCTTTAACCCTTTACCAATCGATTCCCTGCACTTAGGTGAATCACAGGGAAGCATATCGAGACCTGGCCTGAGGTCAAACACCTCGAAAACGCGAAAGGAAAAATCATCATGGAAATGCACGCAACTCAGAGCGTAGAACCTACTCCACCAATCGCTTGAGCCTTCACCATTTGATGCGCCATATCTAATTCTCGCCTGCAGCTGAAAATTCGGTGACCCTAGGTCAGGTCAAAAGTTGTGAAAGTTCACTGGATCCCAAATCATTACCTGCAGACAACCCTTTCAGAGCCTATTACTTCGATAATCTCCAAACCCTCACCACTCGATGGGACATACCTAGCAGCTACAATGTGCCATTGAGCCTAACGTTTTTTTTTTTTTTTATTACTAAAGCGCCCGGGCACTTATTTGTTGCAGTCGTGCACACGACAGCAATAACATCTCCACATGTCTTGTGCGCAAATGCAAAGGCGTTGTCTTCTTTTTTGGTGAGATAGCATACAAAGCACACAAAGTACACTGTACAAGAGATATTTAATTGGGCACATTTGAAACGGCCGTAATCGTCCAATTAAGCGCGGACGCGACGGTGCACGACGCGCACTATGAAGCTCAAGGTTCCCATTGACCAAAGCAACATCTTTCTCGTCAGTCTTGCCCCTGTTTGCTTCTGCGACTTGTCCCTCCGTGACAAGCTCTACGCAGAATGCAGAGACTATGTCCCCAAGAAGCATTCTGAGGTCACTGATCTGTCACAGCAGGTGACTGGACGAACCGGTCTGTTCCGGCTTACGCTCACTTCGGTTCGGCGGACTTCTGAACGCTTAAGGCCAGCAAGCAACAAAAGACTGTTGAGAAGGCATGTAAACAATCATGACAAAACAGCATTCGCACGCCAAACACACACACTGATCAGCCATGCACCACCACGTGCCCCACGTCCACGGTTCTGTTAATCGCGGTGACGCCATTGCCGTGATTCACGTCAACACAACTGAGCGCGTGATTTTCAGTACAACACCTCCGCTAAGGAGAAATTTCATCTCAAGGCCAGCCTAACCAGGCCACACGTCTTCTTGGGATTAGACATAAAAGGAAAAGACAATTGTAATTGGCACCATACTTGCAGCTTCAACGGAGAATTAGAATACAGGCTTACTGGATGCGCAGTATAAAGGTTTCACAGCTATTAACGTGGCAGATTCTGAGCTATGGGTTATCTAGCCAGAATTTTGGACTTTGTGAAGTCTGACGACTTTTGAACTGAGCCAAAGTAACCAAATCTTCAACTGCAAGCGGTAATCAGGTGTGCCCAGGTATGGCGCTTCCAATGAGGAAGATTTCGCAGTGATCAGTGCAGTAGGCTCTGATCTCTGAGTTGTCTACATTTGCATGATAAATTATCATCCGCGTTTTCGAGGTGTTTGACTTCAGGCCGGGTTTTCATATGGTTTATCCATGAATCACCTCATCGCACAGAATCGATACGTAAAGGTTTCAAGGCGATCGAATAAGCCGTTTCGGATAACGTCTGCTTCATTTGCCGGTTTTTTAGACCCTACCCGTGACTTTTCGGTTTCACAATACAACAATATCAGATTCGCAGAGAAATCTTAGAGAGATTAAAAATAAAGTCCTAGAGGGGTGAAGAGGGTCCTAAGCGCAGACTGTGTCTGTGGCTCTTTCCATGCTGGCGTGTATTGGAATGGTACCTTATTTGGTCACGCAGCATTCCACAGGCACCCAAATTTGAAATGCACGCCAAATAGAATCAACCGGGGAAAAAGCCCATCGTTCGTTGCCAGGCTCATGAAAATAGTCAGTCAAATTTACCCTGTAAGAATTTGTTCTGTAATCATGTAGCAATTGGTCGCTTTTATGTTTGCGTATTTGGTTTCCATGGAACGAGATAATAAAGCACGGTAAAGGAAAATGACGAATGAAATGGCAATGACAAATAATAAAAAGACAAGTGAAGTGACGAGTATGTACATGATGATTAAACAGAAAGGGTAGCAATTCAATGTATAAATGTACATGCATATATGTATATATATATATATATATATATATATATATATATATATATATGTATATATGTATATATATATATATATATATATATATATACATATGAGTGTAACATAAATTTATATATAACCTTTAATTCAACGCTTAATTCAGTGAAAAAATTACATCAATTTTGATAGCCCTGGCGGCAAGCTATCGGTTTCGCTTCAAGATCTCATTTTAATACATTTCAGACTTGGCACCAAATAATGTCACTGTACAATCATGCCCGCTTGAACGGAG